ATCTATGTCCCAAGTGCCAGAAGCAGAATCGAAGTAATCCTCCTGAACATGAGCTCAAGCATGGGTTTCTTTGAGTTGCAGTGACATACACCTATACAGCGACAAGAGTTTAGGCCATTACAATCGTTGTAGGACTAGAGAAGAAACGGCAGAGATATGAAACGCATCCCAAAGAAGCCGCTAACCAACTAAGACACAAACGGAAGCATGCGACCACAGCCACCTGGGTATTAGAATTCAAGCTAAAGTTCATCTGGGACACATATGTGACCCTCCATTGCCACCTTCAGAGCCAAATTCAAGCCGTCAAAATATATTGCTCAAACATTTGAGCACAAACCTGTGAGCCAGTGACTAGTTGTAGATAGTGGCAGTTGACCACAATCCCCTAAGCAGCTCAAAGACATTGAAGACAGGAACTAGAGTTGAGAATCCAGTCGCAATCTCCTTGCTTACTTGACCATCCAGAGCAAGCAGCTCTGCCAAAAGAGCCTCTGGATCAACCGCTTGCACTTTCGGACTTGAAGGCGAATGCGACGCAATAGCTGCCTGAGTTAAAGCAATGTCTTCGGATTTCTCCTGCAATGTCCGGCAAATCTTCGGCTAGATAGGTAGCTTTGCATCCCAGGTTCATTTCCAGACAAAGTGGCCTCGTTCCCTTTTGCAAGATGTTCGATGAGGTCTGCAAGCATATGGCCTGCCTTCTCATCTGTCCTAATTGGTTTCGGCGTGCTTTGACACAAATTGAGCAAAGCAGCCAACCATTCTCTTCCAGGATTTTAGAATACCTACTCATGGTGTTGTGGCCTTGTGGGAGCATGCTTAAGACTCAAGTGTCCTGCCATTTGTCTTCAGCCCCTGTCCGCGAAGCCTCTCGGCAAGCTCTGCCACGGTCCTGAAGGCTCGAAAACTCTGCCCAGCTACAGAGGAAACGTGTTGACGATGCAAAGGGTTCTTCTCCGTCCCTGCCAGCTTCTTCCTACTGGCTGCTAGCTAGCTACTAGCTACCTACCCCCCCAGCCAGTTGCTCCCAAAAAACGAACAAGATGGGGCCCACAAACCCGAATGCAAACACGTACTCGAAAGCAAGCAGCCAAACATTGTTTGACACTCTTGTAGGGCATTCTTTTGTGAGACATTCTTGTGGGACACTCTTGTAGCACACCCTTTGTCGGACACTCTTGTGGGACACCTCTGTGGCACACTCTTGTGAGGCACTCTTGTGGGGCGCCCTCTTGTGTGACACTCTTGTGAGACACTCTTGCAGGACACTCCTGTGGGATTCTCTTGTCAAACGCTCATTGTAGGACACTTGTGTGGCACAGTCTTGTCGGAAGCTTGTGGCACGGTGTGGCACCGAGCCACGCCAACGCAGGTTCTACCGGGGCGGTGCCAAGCTGTATGGCACAGCGACATCACGGACGTAATTTTGCAACCGTGCGTCACAGAGTACCTGCAACCATGTGACACGACACCACCAAACATCCCGCTCACTAGCGACACGCCGAGTTTACACACACGCATGTTTCCCTTCCCACAAAGGCACGGAGCCACACAAACGCACTTTCCACCAAGGCCGCAAGAAATCGCATGACACAGCGACATCAGGGACGTAGCTTCGCAGCACCGCCTTCTGAACCGGCATCTCCAATAACCTACTCCCCGCACAACATTTGCACTGCCACTACGCAGTCCCAGGTCCCAAGCTGGAGCTCCCAGAAGACACTTCCGCCCGACTGCGTGTCGTACGGGACTTCCTCCATAGTCATGCGTCAAGTCTCCAACAGTAAGCGCTTGGCACAAGACTTGCTGGAAGGAAAAGTGCCGTAGGAAGTCTCAGCAGCGAACGCATCAAGCAGCTCTCCCCAAGCAGAGTGGCAATCCTGACCCTACAAGCCACAGCCGCCGACCCACCAACCCCAGTGGCGCGGCAACATTTCCCTCCACCCAACGTCGCAACCTCACGATTCCCCACGCCTGCCACGACGAAGATTCACCGACTCACCTTCCACACCTCCAACATGCACAAAGTGCTGGGCCTGCCACGAAAAGTTACTGCATCATATCTTCATGTCTTTAGCAAAGCTTGCACCACACCACACAATCGGAGTAATTTTGAGAGCATGCTCCCATCCACCAAAGTCGCATTTTTAGCTGAGACCTGTCACGAAAACACAGCTTCCGGGCAAGGGCCTGAAAAGTGATTTAACGAAACGCTGCACCTGCAGCAGCCAAATCATCCTCCACACTTCAACATGCTATGTTTCTACACTAGTTCACACGAATCTGACACTTCATGTTTCCAACCAAAACCTCCTCCAAAAGCTTCCCCTAATGGCAGGGCCTTATCGATGACGTTCAAAAGTTCGCGGACGGTTGCAAACGGTTGCGGACGGTTGTGGCCACGAAGGCAATGTCACGCGAACAACACTCTACTCTACCCTCGGACTCCCAATGTAAACAAGAACCCTTTGCTACGCATTCGGGAAAATGATGGATTTCTCCCAAGAGCTGAAGAAAAGCCAAGCATCATGCCATCATTGGGCAGGGCCATCAGTCTCCGTCGAAAGCGATAGTTGGTTGACTCGGTTAACCGCAATGTGCTCCTCTGAACCACATTCAAAACTTGTACTGCATCAGGTGACACAGAGGAGCAAAGCTGCAGGACAAAAGAATGATTCGACCCATTGCAGGTTACCAAGAAGATCTGTGGGAACAAAGGAAGTTTCCCATGTGCTCAAGGTTTGTGGAAAGAAATACTGTGGACAGCAAAGTCCTGAAAGAGCTCCAAGCTGGATGCAGTCGCAGCGCAATCCATGCAGCAAGGACAGTCCAACCAACACCGCGTCGGCGGCGCAACATGCTCAGCTAGACACGAACAAGCAGGTCAAAGTAAGCAGTTGTGGCTGAATACGCGGTGCTTGACGTGCGACCATGGTGCTAGCATGTCTGCAAAACATACCTTTCAATGGGATAGTAAACTGGAGCTGCTAGGACTATTTAAACAGGAGCTGTGATGCCATCAACGTCTGACAGATTGCAGCTGCCAGAGTGTCCATCAATGCAGAGTACTCAAGCTGAGTTGCAAGCGCTACACAACACTTGTATTCTATATGCTTGTCTTGGACAAAAAATCCTAGGATCTTAGCTGGCGGCTGACCAAGACAGCACCTGGCTCTGCGCACTCATCTCCTTTCAATACCAGAGGTCATCGTTTCACGTCGACCCTGCAAGAATGTCCATTCGTACTAAAATATCCTGGCATGAGCTCTGCTTCAAAAAGCCCGATGCCTCACAAAGGCCAAAGTCCTGGAAAAGCCCGATCAAGACCTTTCCTCGAGAGTTTCCAACACACCCTTCACAAAATATCAGTCGACTTCAGCACTCTGGGCCGACGAGAACGCTGAAGTCTATGATTCGCTCTCAACAAATGAGATCTAGACGCAACAACACCATGTCAGCGCAGTCACCATCAATGCGGAGTGTCCTGCAGCAACTGGCTTCAGAGGCAAACGGACTCTGGTATGGTTGACATGGTCCTCGCCAAAGCACGAAGGCAGGGAAGAAATTCGAGCTCCTCATTTGCTCCCGCCGGGAAGATGAGGTGTCTATCAGCACAAATCTGGGCCAAGGACTCGCTGGTTATCTTCGTCCCAATACCTTGCCACACTAGCTTAACTGCCCGAGCGACTCCAAAGCCTTGAACCATTCTACATGACAGTGGTCAACAAGAATTTAGAATGTACCGTTTCCGAAGCAAGTGTCATGTCATAAACTATGCTTTCATAAACTCCAATGCTTCAAGCAGGTGAAAATCAAAGTATGCCTAAACCAGCTCTCTCTGCTCTGCTCAAGGTCTGGAACGGCACCAGAGCGAGCCTTCAGCAAGGCGCTGCATTGCGCTGCATACAATTTGAACAAAAGGTCGCTTCAAATGGCCTCTCGCTTCAAGGAGGGCAAGCTGTACAATACAAATTGCAGAATTCCTCGAGAATGCTCAAAGGCTTCACGTGTAATTCGTCCAGTGCCTAGGCTGGACGCCGAGTCACAGAGTATCAAATGATATTATAATATATATATATATACAGCGTATATCAAATGAGAAACGCAGAAGCTCTAAACACTCACTGAATCTCACTTAATATGTGTCATGGAAAGCCCTTTGCAGGCACCAAAATTATCCAAGGTCCGAGGCGCCTTCAGAGTCCCACTCTGACCACAATTTCACAGCCTCAAGCTTCTCAGGATCTACAGGCAGAGTTGCGCAAAGGGCATCGATGACCTGCTCACGTCTCAGTAAATCTCTGCACCAGTTCTGATGATTTGACACCGACCCCTAGTTGCAACACATGAGGAATCCACATGGCGAATCCGTCTAGGCCTCGTGTTTTTCCAGAGAGCCTGCACCCAGTGGTCGTCTTCCAACAAAGACAGAATCACTGGAGAGTGGACACGCATTTGGATTGAAGCTGCAGGCCTACCGAGAGTGAGACTAACCAACAAGTAAAAAGCCGCCGGTTGTTGCGCACCAGAGTCATCATCATCAAGGGCATGAAACCACGCAGTGCTGTTGAGGCGCACCTTGCAAGTAGCTGGATATGTGTGAAATACACGGCAAGTCTTTCAACTGTTTTCCATGTTCTATTGAATACCGGCCCGGGCAATCCATGCTGACTTGGCGCGTCTGGCAGCGCTTCTACCCGCACAAACTCTGCACGGCACAGGGGGCAAAGGTACCTCACAACTGTGGCGATCCTTGGGATTCTTTGCTCAGGAGGTTTCTAGGAGAAACTTTCTCTGCAAGTCTGCATCTTGTCTTGACAGGTCATGGCTGCTATGGCTTTTGATGTCATCACTGAGTCATCACGAGACACGGTGCAGGGGTCGATTGGAGTAGGAGCTTAGCACAACCTTTGCCAAGCAACTACGCTCAAGCGACAAAGAGTTGCTTCAAGCTTGAGGATAAGCTGGGCAGCAAGCCATGGTGTAGATAATGTCGACAAGCACGCTTCTTGTTTCTTCCGCTTCGCTGCATCAGCCTATGCATGGGGCATGATAAGTGACTGTGCGAGACGTGATCATTGATATGTTTGGGTGCTGTTGCAGTGTTGCTCTGCTTGCATCTTCCCTGGGGAACAGACATGCAAACTGCGTCCGAAGGTAGTTCCGCACAGCAAATGCAGCACTCTGCTCCAGGCCCTGCCAGTCGGCTTCCTTTTCGCTGCCACATCAGTTTAGTTCAAGTTGGTGTCACCATGTCACAGTTAAAGCTGCTCTAGACCTTAGACTTAACCCCAAGCCAGAAAGTACAGTTGAAGGCCCTCCCTGCCTCTGAGAAAACTGCCACTGCCTGCCTAGTTGGACTAGAAAGCTTCTCTTTTCAATCACAACAGTTCTCTTGCAGTGCTTTGTGTTGCGCATTGCAGCTTCAACAATCAATGGTCAAGAAAGTGGACGCTCAAGAGATTGACAAAAAACTGTAATTGTTGTTGCTGTTGTTATGGCGAAGGCTTGCCTTTTTGCTTGAGAATGGAGCCCGGCTCTGCATTTCGACTTCATCCTCATGCACAGCTGAAGGCAGGCCCTCCTCAAACTGAGACACTGTGACCAATGCTTCCTTGCCTGCAAGCAGTTTATAGAAGTGAGAATGGGTCCAAGTTCACCAACGTGCAGGTCCTCCACAGTACAAGTAGTTGTGCTGTGAACTGACATTGTCCTCAGTAGAGTACTGATCAAGAGTCATAGCATTCATGGCACACCAGCGAATACGGTCTTGAACCTGTGTAATCAAGCGTAAGCCTTCACGTATAAACAAGTGTATACTGTATACGGTACAAACAAGTTTGTGCATGATTTGCTTGAGCCAAGTCTCGGCATACCTGGAATCTCGAACTGTGGCGGCACTTTGTCCATCAGAAATTCCTAGAAAAAAGCGACTTAAGAAAAGGATCTGCCATCAATGCAAGTGAAGCACTATGTTGACTATGACCGTTTTGCTTGCTGGAAAGGAGAAGCAACAAACCACCCTATTGCCTCAGCATCATCTCCATCCTCGGCCGTAAGATCCATGACCTTTGCCACCCTCAGGATGTGTTGCAAAGGCTTCCACACTTGCTTCCAAAGCCTAGAAAGTGTGCAGTACAACTCATGCTGCATGCTCGATCAAGTATATATTTACACACTTTACTCAATATGGCTTGGTCATCATCACGTAACATTTTCTCAGCAGGGTCTGGTCTCAGTTCGCAAGGTGAAAACATGCACAGTGAAAGGTTGGTCAGTACATTGTCGCGATGTGCTCCTTCATCGCTTTGATGGCACTCTCGCCTCACTCTTCATCCTTCTTTGACTGGGTCTTGGCTGCTTCACGTAGTACTTCAACAACATGACTGTTGAGAGTGCCCTCTGCATGATCTTGGGCGGTCTGGCCATTCTCATCTGTTGTATGCACATTAGCACCATGGGCAAGGAGAGCTTGAACGCAAAGAAGCTGTTGATTCATGGCAGCCCAAATGAGTGCGGTCTCCCCACGGCTGGTCTTGGCCTCAGTAGGACACTTCAGCTCAATAAGGCTCTTCACCAAACTGGGGTTGCCAGCCTGGACTGCGCTGAAAAGGGCTGTTTGACCATCCTCATCCTGATGTTCCACCTTTGCTCCTTTTGCAACCAGGAACTTGCAAATCTCTTCACGTCCGAACTGAGCAGCCAAAAGCAGTGCGGTCTTGCCTTGTTTGGTGACTTGGTCAACTTTGGCATCCTTCTTCACAAGCCCCTGTACTGTAGTCAAATGACCTTCCGATGCAGCCCACATCAAAGCAGTCTGATGATGCTGGTCCAGCTGATTCACTTTGGCACCCTCTCCGATCAGAAATCCGCAAACATCCCAATGCCCATTTGCGGCCGCTTTCATCAAAGCTGTCTCTCCCTTTTCCGTGGCATAGTCGGCCGTGATGCCAAAGTTACTGACCAAGAGCTCACAAATCTCGTAGTGTCCACTCAAAGAAGCCCACATCAGAACATCCCAGCCTTCATCATCCTTCAGGTCCAAGGAAGCTCCGTCATCGGCCAGAATTTGCACAACATCTCCTTCTCCCTGTTCAGCAGCCTTCATGATCGCTGTCCTTGCCAAGCAACAAATCAAGCAAATCGCACTGGCATAATACAGCAAAACAAGTTCCGAACACAGAATAGGTTTCATGCAGCCTAGATTCACTCCCTCGTCATCCTTCATGTCCAAGATCCTCTTCTTCTCACGCATGAGGGACTGCTGCGCTTCATCCTTGCCGCCGGTCAATGATGGTCCTTTCTTCCTTTGAGCCGCTTGAGCCTCAACGAGGAACCTGATGATGTCAGTATGGCCCTCTTTACCTGAGCAACAAGAAAGTCCTACAAATACAGCACCCAAAGGTTTACAGCGCTCAGTCTAGCATCTGGAAGTGTACATTACTCAAGCCCAGCCTTCTGCAATGCTTGAATTTGGCCAAGCTGCATGCTTTCATCAAAGCCGTTTCTCCCATGTCATCTTTGGCGGAAATGCGAGCTCCCTTGTCAACAAGAAACTGGACCACTTGTATGTAGCCGCCCGATGCCGCATGCATCAGCGCATTGACGCCCTCTGGATCCTTCTGATCAACCTTCACTTTCTTATCCTCCAAGGCTTTGCTGCAACCCTCGACTTGGCCAGATTTGGCCGCCTCGATCAGGGGATAGACAGCGGTGGTACTGGTTTTGCCTTGGTTACTTTTGAGAGCTGCCAGCAAGTTACTGGTCATGGCGCAAGATTTGATTTCACTCACTGCACTCAACACTGGCTCAACCAGTATCTCAGCACTCTTGAACCATAAAACATGTATGGAGAGAGAGAGAGAGAGTGTGTGAGAGAGAGAGAGAGAGTTCACAGGACCATTCATAATAGTGCACATGGGCACATCGAACGTGTCACTATTACAATCATATTGTGGAGAGTCCACAGAGCTGGTAATCACTCTAAGAGCAGGTCTGTTCAGCTTCAGTAGCGAGCCTTCCAAAAGGCAAGGCATGGCAAGGGTGGTGTCAATCTAATCAAATGTGCAGCATCGACGCCGGCACCGTCGTGATGCCTAGTTGGAAAGGCACGGCCTGCACACAGCCCCATCGTCCACCACATCATTTGATGCATCAAGATCTGCCTGAAGCCGCACTGTTGAGGGTCATTGAATTTGGTTGTTCTCAACGATTCTCTGAAGTCTCAGCTTCGCTCCACAGGTGTTTCATGTTCTGTGCCAGGGAAAATTGCCTTGGAGAGTCTTGAAGAGCATGGCCATTCATGATTCGCCCCAACATGCTTGTCATCACCCAATCTTCCGTCGCCAGCAGGATAAGAATATCATGTCCACAAAACACACGAGCACATGAAGCACAGTACCTTGGCTCTTAGACTGCCACCCTGGGGGCTCCGTCCATGTTCCTCGAAAAGCTTGATGAACAAGCGAAAGCCAGCCCGGTTTCTTGATTATGCGGTCTTGTCAGGACTTCTGCACAACAGCATTTCAACTTTAGTCCAGCCCGACTGGCTGTAAGGCTGCAACATTGCATATCATAGCATGATAAGCAGCGCTCGGCAACCATTTTAGGCCTGACCCGGAAGCAGGCGTCAGATTGTGGTCTTCATGGAACGGTTGGTGGCAAGAATCCGCAAAATAAAGGAAAGAAATGGTGCCTGGATCACGCCAAATGGTTTGCATGTGTGCATGCAGAGCAAGGTGGGGTTCAAATCAATGAACGCTGTTAATGTGTAGCTGTGTAGTTTCAACGATTGGTAATTGCTGCAATCTGCAGTCCATTGCTTCTATTGTTAACAAATGTTGTCATGCGCCCCAAATAAAGCTACTCAAATCCTGTCTCTGACTCACTCTAATGGACCTCACATGCCAATCACAATGCGGGCATATGTGTGCTCAGAACTCTATCAGGGTTGCAAGATCCAGAAAGAAACAACAACAAGAAAGTGTTACAAAGAATAAACCCGGCAACCCACCAGAAAATGCAAAGCAATCTTGACAGAAACAGAGAATGGGGTCGCACTCTTTTTATCATCGCCTCAGCGGAAGTATTGACTCCTTCGGCATCTTGACTAACAGGTTTCATTAGGTCTCCTCAATCTTTTGGGCCCTACAGTCCAGGTCCGTAGCATGGTGGAACTGGCTCAGATATAACTGATTCCTGCACAGCCACGGCCACCTGACAGGAGCTGTGGCTTGAGGAGCTCGGGGTCTTGAATAGCAGAGCCATCAGACCCCCAATCCCTGTTGGGCTAGTGACATCCAGTTGACTATTAGTAAAGGACACGTGAGGCCAGGGAGCAAGCAAAAGCGGCTTGCAAGACCAATCAGGAGCAATGAGAAATGATCAAAACCGAAAGACATGATGCTTCGATGCATGCACGAGACAAGTTGAGATGAGAGGAACGGTGGAATCAATCAGCTCAGAAGGAAGGAGGTGATGAGATCAAGAAAGTGAAAGCATTACACCGGCATAGACACCAGATAGCAAATTCGAAAAAACAAGAGCACCTGGAACAAAGAAAATCAAATAGTTCACGAAAGAAATCCCATGAGAGTTTCCAGTGACCGTGAGTAGGTACAATTACAACAACACCTCTTTCCGTGTGACTCCACAAATCCAGTCATCGATTCTCAGAAGTGGGGAAACATGTAAGGAAACACATGGAAAACAATTGGGGAAACGAGGAGACAAATAAGGAGAGACAGCAACAGCGGAAAACAGAACGCCGATCACACAGGCAAGACAAGCCACCAGCGGCAGCGATGGAACAAAACGCCGATCGGCCACCCAGTCATTGATAATCATAGAGAAGTAAGGGCCCTGTAACTTTCAACTATCTGAGAAAAAAAAATTAAAGCAACTTGAGCCACTAGTTAGACCAGCCACAGCGATAAGGTTCAGGGTGGGAGTTTGAGCACATCATCTTCATAGCATGTGTCAAAGGTCCTTTGTTCTTAACTTCTGTTCAAAGAAAACTTGAGCCACTAGTGGGGGTCAGGAAAGGATGAAATGAAATGGGAGATTCGAGGTTTAAGGAGAGAAGAAACTCTGCAACAGAGGAGATTCTGGAAGGCAGGCTGGAAGAGAACATGCAACACAAAAACCTTACAAAAAGGGTCCCCTGGCTCAATATTCAAAAGGTTGGAGAAGAGACTCGAGGTTTGAGAAAATAAGAAAGGTTTCAACAGAAGAGAGTCTGAAAGGAAGGCTCAGAGAGGTCGAGGGAGGGACCTAGACCTAGAAGTCCAGCGTTCAAAGGGGTTGCAACAACATCAGACTTCATGCTTGGTCAGGAACTTCTCTTCATGTGTTCTTGTTGGCACTTCGTTTCTTGAACGTGTTTGATGTGATGTCGTATTTGTTTTGTAGTGGCTGGCGCAGTTGTGGAGGGAAACGGCTTCTCCAAAATATGTCGTTTGCCGTCGCCCTGTACATGTTGCTGATTGGCCCCAACCCCCAATATAGAATCAGCCGTGGGTGAATCTGGGGAGGACTACGGCCTGCCAGGGCTTGGGGGTTCAAAAGAATTCTAAAGGACAATTATATACACGTGGTCATGGGCATGGGATTGAAACATTTTGTGGTCCGCGTGCCACCCCACAAATCCTTCTCATTCTCACATCGCAAATATTATTAAAACTTATGAAAAGTCCAAGGCTCTTGACTTAGTCATTCCGTCCAGCTTTAAATCATGAATTTGGAGAGTCCAGGCTATGAGCCACCCATTGGCAGTTTCAACCGGGTTTCACGGTTTCACCTATCAGTTTTCACGCATCGCTTGAGAATTCGTAGCGAAAAAAACAATTGAATCTATATACAGTAGGTGAGATAGCGGTTTCCTGGTCGTTTTCTTTGGATGATCTAGCTAGACTGTTTTATGTGCGATGTATCTACACAGCTACAACCTCAGTCAATCGACAGGTGTTGTTCAGGAGACTGCAGCTCAGTGGAAAACAGTGCCTGACTCGACGCTTCTCGAATAAATGCAGCATCCTTCTTCAAGAACTCTGCAGCATACCTTGAAAAAGTGCTATGAACAAGTGTTACATTCAATGTTGGTCCAGCCTTAATATGAAATAGGGATTGTTTTCTTGCCTAAGCCAAAGACATAAGGGCGCGTTTACTCTGCCTTGCAGCCGCCTTGACCACCTCAGGGTCGCCCTTTAATTCCTCGCGACCCGAAGGAGGTCGAAAACAATGAAAGCCACACATCTGCACGACACAAGCGACATGCCGCCTGTGCAGCGTACCGCAAAGAGATGCCCCGTTGCTGTACAGCTGCTAAAACTACATCACGGTCCTGGGAAAGAGAACAGGGAGACAACTGTCAGGCACACTCTGAAACGATTGGTCTCCCACTGCCACGTTTCATGATGTAAAGTGTTCCCAAATCACCCCATAACATGCCGGGCACACTGCACGCAGCTCCTCTCGGCCAGGCAAACAAAACGAATCAAAAACATGTGGGGCGAATCTGGCCTCAAACATGAAACGACATAATAGCGAGCCTGGGAAGCATAGGCCAGCGCCCCACCATTTTCCTGGACTGCTCGCAGGACGACCTGATTGAAATTTGCAAAACGGTGGAACAAACGTATTGTGTGAAAAACATGCTTTCAAATTTCAAAGACCCAACCTCTTTGTCCGCCTGCAGCACATCTGAAGCCCACCTTCAGCACCCAGCTAAAGTGCACATCTCGAACACAGTTAATTTTGGTTCTGCATGTCTGGGAGTGCGTCGTTCTGGCGGAAGCATGCGTACATGGACTCAACCTAGACATAGGTACGTGGGAAGCGGCCTGTTTGTTTTGTCACAACAGCGAGCGCTCTGAAAAGAACAAGGCCTACAAGCCCGTGCACCTACGTGGGTGTACATAATACACAGCACAGTGCGCACAATGCATTACCTCGCATCACGGCCCCTTCCACGCGCCCCTTTCTGGCTATATAAGTGCACCCACCAATGGCATGGGGACGGGTTGGTGTGGGATTGGGTTTGTGAGCTGCAGACTATACAATGGTATCAGGTCCCTACTACAGGTCACAAAGATTCTAAATATGCGAGATGCAAACGGTAGACTCAGTGAGCTCTTCAGGTCTGGCGTCTTTGTTTTTGGAAAGGGCATCAACCCGAGTGAGGGCGGCGACCACGCATAGGGGAACTAGCACGCACAAAATAATCAAAACATTCGCCATGGGAAGGTTTCATTATCAAAACCTAAGGAAAGACAAGTCAGAAACGACTGCGACGTACGCACTGGTAATCTTTAGGTGTTGGACTACTCAAAAAAGGCCCCTCTCTTTCAAAAGAGAGAACACCTGCCGCGCGCGCTAACATTCTTCAGGTGCGTCGGTTCCTTACAACGAGCCTCCCTCTTATCCAAGGAGAGACCACTTAAAACCAAACAGAGCAACACGTCAAAATAGGGATGCACCAAGCCGCGAGGCCAAGCATTTGAAGATGCAGGCGGTTCATACTTGCTCTGGTCCGTGGCTGGCATGTTGTTCAGCGCTTGTAACTGACTTCATAGTTAATGACCTCAAACCAACTCAACCCATTCAACATGAGCTCTCAGCAACTTTCTTTTTCTTTCAGGTGCTTGGCGTGTAGAAACAGGTATGCAGTGCACCTCTGCTAGTCGCTCATCAGGCACAGCTGGCGGGACTCACATTTCGGAGCCTCCTCACCCTTCAAATAGCCAAGGATAGCCCAGACTCCTCCTGCTCCTGCCTCCTCAATCTCCACGCGCGCCTCACGCACTTGCGCATTGGGACTTGGACGGCGTTGCCAGGCGTCCTGGACGCGTAGGCATCCACAATCGCCTGGACACGACGAGCCACCACCTCCACTCTAGCAAGCGAAGATAAGTGTGATCGTACGTCGCACGCCAAAGAGCATCCACCAAGGTGCGCGTTTCAAAAGCAATGAGGTCATATTGGATGTGCCTGGCCCGGAGCCATTCAATCGTCCACCTCTTTGGGTCTCCACCAAAACGCTCAGCGCGTTGAACGGGTGTACTCCTTGCTTTCAATCACCACCTGCCTCCACTCTTTGAGCCTATGGCCAATGGAGCCGAAGTGCGTGCATCGGTGCGCATCCAGTCCAGAGATTTCCTCCATTGCGTTTACTTTGCTTGCAATAGAGCTCCAATTTCCTCCCTGAATCTATGGTACCTCAAGTACTCCTCCGTCTTGCCTCCCGCGTCCGCTCACAAGCCTTCGGCCCAACAGTCAAGAAGCATTGAGCTTTTCGCCACTCACTTTGACAAACGCTGGCTTCCAAGATCTTGATGCCCACTTTATCTAAGGCCTTCTCAGTCTCAATGTGCTCAATCATCTCATCCTTTGTGGGAATAATGCTTGAATTACTCACCTCGGATCTTGAACTTTTGTGGTCCATCCTCTCATCCGGATAAAGACTCGCGGTATACATCACTGTCTGGGGTGACATGCCATGTCATTTATCTTCCATGTCAATATCCCTGCGTCCTCATCTTGATACCATACTGCCAGCTGATCACCTGGTTGACATAGTGATATTTTATATAACTCCTCGACCCTTGCGTCGTGACGGGCTGACATGGGCACTGTCCTCCTCTACTGGGTTGGACCTCCAATGATGCAACGAAAACCTTGTAAAGATCAAGAAAACTGAAGAAGTCACACAACCAAGTAACCAGGTTGTAACACTCACAGGAACACTTACAGGTTCACACAAGGGCAGGTTCACTCACGGCGAGCGGTCGCTCGTCCTTCAGCGATTTAATCGCCGCTTTGAGGGCCAACAAGAGAGAGGTTGGTCGCATGGCACAGCCCTAAAACTTGAGATGAAAATCACTTCACAAACAAAAGAAAAGCTTCAAATCACTCAACCTTCTCCAGCAGGCTGATCCAAGCAAGCACGAAGCACGAAGCAAGAAGCAAGAAGAAGAAGAAGGAAGAAGAAGCAAGCAGAAAAAGAAGCTAGAAGCAAGAAGAAGAAGAAGAAAGAAGAAGAAGAAGAAGAAAGAACATCCACTAACAACAAGTTCATCCCATGGTGAAACTTTGCAACACCACCTTCAAGCCACCTTCACAGCAAGCCCAATGCTGACGAGCTTTGTGAACTTGGATGCAAAGCATTCTCGGAATAAACGGGGCAATGGCCCAACGGCTGAGTCTGTCGAAGAATTTAAGGACACGGACTTTGACCTCCAAGGTCTCTGAGCAAGCGATCAAGGTTTCACCTTGCCTGTTGGCAACTAGCCATCAAGCCAGACTGATCATGGAAAATGCTCCTTGGAGCTCCTCCAGCAATATTGAATTTTGGCCCCCTTTTCTGTTCAGTTGAAAGCAGCTCCAAACAAGCGGCAAGTGTTTGTTCGACTGTAAAAAAAAAGGAACTTTAATCACAAACTCTGAATACTCCTGGCAAACACTCGCAAATTTTCAATGTAGGGACAGGACAGTGGAAGCAAGGGCCCAAGATTCAGAAGCTAAACATATCAATTGCCTGTACTGTGTATGTTGTAAGTCATAAGTGTGTAAATGTATGCGGTTCATGATTGTACTATATATCTGTACCTGTGCTGCAACATTATCCGACCGACTTTCTTCATAGTCAGCAACAATCAACCACTGGTTCATGCAAGCCTGTTCTGAGGCAGTTTAGACTCCATGATGTGCACTTCGGGTGTATACATGGTTTTAGCACTTCGGAGAAAACAACCCAACGGCAAGTTGAATTCACCAGCATGACACTCAGGTTTGCACATTAGTGCAGTCCCATTCTTGGAGACAGCACACATCACCACCTGTTTGCGCCGACTTTTTCATTGATTTCTTGCTATCAAGAAATTATATATATAAATGTTTTTCAATTGGTGAAGATTTCTCTGCTGTCTGGGCTGTCCTTCTCGATGTAACAAAGACCATTTACAGCCGGGCCCTACCTCCCAATCATCCTTGAAATCTGGAGCATACTGCAAGGCCAGGCCTTCCGCTCTCACAAAAAGCAACGAAGTGCAGTGAAGTACACAAGCTTCAGGTTAAGCAAAGTTTAATCAAACTGAGCTCAGCTCCATTTGCCCAACAGGCTTCGGCCACCAGCTCCTTGTCAGCACCTCGCAAAGCAAAAGCACTGTCCCTTTCTTGGATTCCAGGAGCCAGCTGCGTGGCAGAAAATAAACATCCACAGAAGCAATGTATTTGTTGTCTTGGCGGTCAGAAATTCCGCTGAAGCTCTCGAATTATATTCCAGTGACCAACACAAGGTTGTGTCAGACTGCACAAGAAAATGAAAACAAACACAAGAACTAAACAAACAAAAGATTGCCACCAAGTTGGATTATCATTAGCCATTCAACGCCCTGACACCATGTCACTGACCCCAAACTTAGCATGCAAGCAAGTCCTTCAGGACACTTGCTAATTATCCCCGGCACATTAGCTCGAATCGCCCTTGCAAACCATGCCGTTGACACATAACAAGTGCAAGATTCTGGAGTCAAAGCTGGCAATGAAATCGCAATTGAAACCGCATCATGCCACTCTGACCCAAATGAAGGCCCAACAGAGTATGGTAAGACCCTATTTGTCACAAGCACAAGTACAGCAGTTCATTAATCCAACCAGCCCATCTAGTGGTCTATGGATAGAAACACAATCGGAGACAGTTCAAGGTCAGGCATGCAGAAACTGCAAGAGCAAAATGAGAACAATACAGTACCTTTATTTCGGTCGTGCAGCTGGGAGTGCTTCCTTTGTGTTTGGAACATAGCGCCTTCCGGTTAGAACTGAGACGGAAAACAACCCCAAAAGCATGTTCGGAAGAAAGTGCTTTGCAGAATCTGGAGCTTGGCAGAACGTAACGTGTCAACCATATCCAAAAACACAAAAATACGATACAAACAGGAAAGTGGAGTCCTCAAGATGTGAGAATGGTGACAAAAGGGTTAGGCCCTGAAGGGGTGGTTAGAAACCTACAGCTTTTGGGCTGGCCCTTGGACCCTTCTTTGTTCCTTCTTTTCTTCCTTTATGTACTTGTCTATATATTATGTTCTTAATACACAGATTTAGAAGAAGGTCTGGTTATATACTAGTTCTTGCGTACCGAGGTAGCTTCTTGCAGTGCGTAACACTATGACTGGTTACATCTTATCATCCTTAAAGGCACCCGGTGCAAAGATCCGTCATGTATTCGGAGGGTTGGGGAGCTTGTGTAGGCAGGAGCTCAAACGAACCCCAATTGAAAACGTAGCATAGGATTGCTGGCTTGTTTAGGCTGCCTCCCGCAGCTTCAAGAGGGCTTGGAAGGACAAAGGTTGTGAGCGGATTCTTGAAGAAGTTCCTTCCCCCTTGCAGCACAGGAGAGTCTCGAGCCGTTGAAAAATTTGCTTCGAATCACAGGTTCAGCCGGTGGAGACACCTAACAAAACAGGTGTTGCACAAGGTCATGCATAAGTACCTAAGTGCACTTGGCCCTTGGCTTTGGGAACCTGAGTCTTTGTCTCAAGGCTCTCGAGGTTCTCCTCCATATTGGGTGTCATTGTCTTTCCGAAGGCTGCAAAACACGGCAAAACGTTGGGGATTCTGATCTTTTCAGAGCCTGGCCTCATCAAGTTCGGCTTCATGATGTTGGGTTTGCACCGTGCTTTCATGCAAGTTGTCCTCTGCGAATTCAGCTGGAAGTGTATACTCTCCACAAAGGTTGGTCGAACAACACCTGACATGCTCGGAGGCCAGCAGCACGCAAAGCCGAGCGGAACACCATGGCAGCTCGATGCCAGCTCTCCTGTCAACAATAGAACCAGGTGGACTTGGGATGATGTGAGCAGGCCCAGAGCTGCAAAAGCTGGAAACTCGCCTCATCATTCCAGAAGTGCGACACACCTCAGGACATCCACATTCACCTGCGTGATTGGTAGATTGGTAGATTGTTATATACGGTGTTCTAATGGTCCTATGATTTGCAGGCGTGACACCCGAAGGATGCGGCAGCACCAGAAAGCGCACACCATCCTGCTCCTCTGTCCATGGTACGCACCGGTCCAAACTCAACGCAAATGCGGCAGCAACAAGGCGCCCACAAAGAACAACCACCTGCAGTCGAAGCATGACACAATAGAAGCTACTAGGAACACGGGCATCGCTACTAGGAACAAGGGCATTACTACTAGGAGCAAATAGCTAGTAACAACAAGAAACTACAGGAACAAGGGCTCTGACACAAATGGCAGCGTGGCGCCAAATGAGTTTGTCTTTCCTTCATTGGCGAGCAGCCGCGTAGCGTTCTAAACGGCCGAAGCGTCGCAAGCGGGCAGCCACAAGTCGGGCCACCGACAGCGGGAAGCGATGGCCATCACAGCGGTGCTTTCGATAACCAGCACTCCACTGGTGGTATGACCTTGGTATGACCAATGCGTTGGAAATATGTTCACGAAGTATGACTTGCCACAGGATGTGATCCGTACGATATGCTTTGCAGAGTATCTTTTGAACACGAAGAGAAGAAACCTGTGCGAACCGCTTTCCTATCTTCACTTATGCTGCTGTTCGTTCATCTTTTAGGCTGTATTCGCCATTTTTGCAAAAACATGACTGTCGGCCAAATCAGCACAGGACAGCAGCGTTAGGTGATTATGGCTTTGCCACCTTTGCCCTGCCAGCTTAGTAACTCAATCCCAACGAGCCGGAGAAGCTCCGGGATTTGCAACACGATTGGGCAGACCATATTGTCCTGAAAGGGGGAGCTTCAAGGAATACCACCACTTCTTTGCTCTGGGACTGCCAGTTTGGACGGCCTCACTCAAGAATTCATCATGACAAAGTCGGGGACTTGTGTGTGTGTGTGAACATAGTCGGGGAGATGTGAAATAATTGCATTGGAGGTGCTTCCTGTCTTTTTTTCCAGGACACCAACCTCAGTTCTCAGCTCATGTCGACTATAACCTCTCAAGACTTCCTTGAGTCTCAAGTTAAATCAACAATGACATGTTGGCCAAGGCACCAAGAAGGTCCACACGGTCAAAAAATGCCCAGAGTTCATCAAGGCTGAGTCCAGCCAGCCGCGCCAACCGCTTCTCTGGTTGTCCTTGCAAGGTTGCCCGGCGTCAATGCTAGGACAAATGTGCTTCCCAAGGAGTTTCGTATGCAGATTGACAAACGCAGCACAGGCCTTGCAAGGGCTTGTAGTCTGAGGACAGACTCTCCTTGGCTCTCTCGCCAACCAAACAGAGTTGCGAACCTTGTGTTTCTTGGTTAAAACTGGCACTGAACCTAACGCAATCCTGAACTGTCAGCAAATAGATTGACCACATGAAGCCAAACAAAGATATGGATCATATGGAGGCTTGACCTCTCCAAGAAATATCGTTCTGAATGTTTTAGGCATTTCACAACAAATCAAAGACCATGATATCATTGTGCACATTTCTCCTCAGTTCTAGCACATGAAGCTGAGTCAGGAAACTCTTACAAGGCATTGCAAAAGATTGCAAACGGTAGACCTCATGTTTGATCTGGTGCTTTACCACTGATTCCTAGTCCATTAGGGAGAGACAGCCAAGTGGTCCTCCTTCAAACAAGTTCTCTACAGGGAACGTATCTTTGACTATTCTTGACTCTATTCAGGCTTGCATCTGGAGGCAAGGGCGGAGCTTGGCCCACCACCAGGCCACGCGGGATGCGCTCCGCCATCGCTCAGGACCATGGAACCACAAACAAGCAATCTACGGCTACGGTTGCTTAAAACGATTCATTTTTGGTCATTTGCTCTTTAAAGGTCCTGGGTGTGAAAAGAAATCTTCTTTCAGAACAAACCTCAATGTCAAGTCGTGGAAGCCGAGCCAAAAGGCTTCCCCATTTCCTCCGCCTGGGCAAGGTTTGTGGCATAGGAAAGGATGCTTTCCAAATCACAAGCATTGTACTGTAATGCAGCAGGAGCTTCAATCTAAGGTCCACTCGAAGACTTTGAGGTGCGTTTTGCAAAGCAAGACCATCCTGTCGATTTTGATTTGCTTTCAAAGATCTGTACTGTTATGTCAGCTGTGTCTGATGCAAAGGCACATCCTTTGAGGGCCATGGTCCTTAAGGATTGTGGCACAAGTTCAAAAACAATGAGTTTCAGCCTCCTGCACAAGCTGGTATTGTTTGCGCCACTCATCGGTTCGGTGCAAGGCCTTGGATACCAACACTTTTGACATGTATTCGAATCGAGCATTTGAAATGGCCGACTGCTGCAAACAAAATTCTTTTAAGGTTTGGACTTCGATGGCAGTTTGCCCTTCTAAAGCCCTCCATCCTTTTGGTTCCTGGCTGTCTGCATTATTTTACAAACCCAGGCAAAATTGAAAATATCCACAATAATTGAGAAAGAAAAAACTCTGAACCCGACGCTGCATTTGACAAGTCATGGACAAAGTTTTTGGTGGTGTGCTGCTCTCGGTTTCTGAAAGGGGTGTTGGTACAATGTTGCCTCCTTGACCAAGAGCTCTGAACATGCCACCAACGTGCGTTCCTCTGCCTGCAAATGAAACACACCAAAAACCACTGCGACACTACAAAAAGTAGTTTGTCATGCTCAATTATACAACGCGACCTTCATGTTTCATGCCCGTCAGCCACAGATCAGTAAATGAACATTCGCCATGGTGTCGCACAAAGGCACAAAGCTATTCAAACCACTGCGTCAAATTGTGACCCACAACAATAAAATCTTAGAACCATTGATGTTCTTGTCAGTGGCACTATTGAGGATTCTTGACCCAAACCTCTCTTATTGGGTTTGGTTGCATGTTGTGAAAGGTATTTTTCGAGCCAGCATTGTTGCAGCACTGGTTTCCCAAAGTAAATCCGCACGACAAAACAACAACACGACAGTGGCCCGAAAGCACAGCAGCAGATAGAGAGAGGCATTGATGGAAAGCGTAGCATACAATACACATGTTGGTGATCGTGAAAAAAACAGCCCAGACAACGATGGCGGTGCAAATGCGTGTGGTTCAATGTGTCCTTTTTTCGTATTACAGCTGTGATCATCCGTCTTTCTGCTTGTCACATCGTCCGCAGGTGTCTACACCAGGCTCGTTGACAACCGCCAACCATCCTGCTCCCCAGCACGCGGCATCATCACATTTTCCCATCCAATGGCGCGGATAACGCTCTTTCCACCGACGCCGCGCATGACAAAGACGTAATTTCGCCACCTGGTGTGCCACAGACCAGACACAACAACACAATGACACCAAGCCTTGTGACAATCATCTCCACAACGACACGTCGCTGCTTTCCTCTCTTCCCACTGCAAAAACTGCGACACACGGTGTGCCACAAATTTGGACAATATGACACCAAGCCTTCTCAACACCGCCAAACTAACCGCCAATCATTCCGCTTGGAACGGGTGCCAACACGTTTGTTTCCTTTGTCCAAAAAGCAAGATGGAGCCCACGAACCCGAATGCAAACACTTTCAAAAAGCTACTGTTAATCTGCGAGGGGATGGCCCGATGCGACGGGGTCACATCAGGGTCACATCAGGTTCCTGTTTACAGCGAGGCCCAGTAGCATTGAAAGAAAGGTGCCCATGAGAAAATCATCGTAAGACAAGGGAATAGCTAGATAATTTGCATGTCGCATGTTCTCCAAACATTATATAACAGTATGCAATCATGAAACCGATGCGACTTCCCGAAGACCTTTCGACGCAAGTAACGGCAACATTCAGTGCAAACCGATGCGACTAATCTGTCTGAGAGTACATATGTCCAAATGACACTCTTGTAGGACACTCTTGTGGGACACTCTTGTGGGTCACTCTTGTAGGAAACTCTTGTGGGACATTTTTACGGGACACTCTTGTGGGACACTCTTCTGGGACACTCTTGTAGGACACTCTTGTGGGACACTCTTGTGGGAGACTCTTGTGGAACACTCTTGTAGGACACCCTTGTGGGTCACTCTTGTATTAAACTCTGGCGGGGCACTCTTTTAGGATACTCTTGTGGGTCACTCGTGTAGGAAACTCTTGTGGGACTTATAAGCCACTCTTGTGGGACACTCTTATTATGGGACACTCTTGTGGGACACTCTTGTGGGGCACTCTTGTAGGACACTCTTGTAGGACACTCTTGTGGGACACTCTTGTGGGACACTCTTGTAGGACACTCTTGTGGGAGGCCATGGACCGGTGTTTGTGTGCGTGTCTGTATACAAACCGTTGCCCACTAAACGACTAGAGATGGCTTTTGAACACATATGGCAATGTTTTGTTGTTGCAATAAACATGTTTTGCTTTTACAAAGTGATTTGACGACCAAAGTGCCTCTGCAGTGCATGTTGGCTTGCTGAAATGCTTGTGTTTTCGGAAAAGATGTAAGCGAAGGTTGTGGCTGGCCTGTCCAAGATAAAATGGATTTTCGGTGAGTTTGTGGCCTCTATTTTGGAATGGCAAAGCCGGTCTTGGGCACGGACTTGCCAGTGAGCAGAGAAATTGCGGGCGCCAAGAGAATGGTCGATGAAAACAGGTGTGCTTGATGCTACGATAGGACGATCGATGTCCTTCCCTTCGACCTCCAAAATGAGTTTCCGCAGCGTCACTGGTACCAAAGAACCTCCACCGCTCATGGCGGCGCCAGTCACTGCTGTTGACGATGATGCACTTCCCCAACCGGCGAGAGCACAATTCAAAGGTGTTGGTGCACTTTCTGTGCCCTGCCGCAGGTTCAGCTGCAGTTTTTTTTTTGCACGGGTGGAGACGCCATGTGTGCATGGTGCACAGGTCATCTTTGACTACGTTTGAGTGAATCTCCTGTAGAGTGAACCAAGAAACAAAAACAAAACCAAAAACCGCAAAAGGGAACCCAACCAAAACAACAACCAGCACCCAAGACCACAAACACGAAAGGAGATTCGACTTTGCACATGCAAGGTGAAACATCGGTGAGACAATGCTATGCCTTCTTTGTAGTTGGGCAACGAATTCTGGCGTGAGCTTCGAAAGATGAGTCGTCATCGTTTGCCCTCACGACGTAGAGAGGCAGTGGGCCTGAAGGTACAGGCCTGTTCAAGAGCACTAGTTGAAATCAGTGCTCTAGGTGGCGATCAAAGCTCGTTGGCAGTTAGGCAGCAAGTCTAGCTACCATATGGGAGAGCTGCTAGTCGAATGCACAAATACCCGAGACTGCAACCATGTTCTGGCCGTGGAAAACAGCGGAGCCCACAACTCTGACGTGACAAGCGAAAGTGAGTGAAGCTGCCGCTGTGGCCTGCATACAGTGCATAGCACGGGTAAGTTATTGTTGCGAGTCAGTATCGCACGAAAGAGTAGGCGCCGCAGCACGGCAGAGGCGTACTCCATAACAGCTAAGCCTACAGGAGTACTCATCATGTGCACACTTAACCCAATGAAGGGTGCAGACGTACGATAGCAGGCTTTCAGTGGTCATGCAATGCCCTGGTGAAACCCTACGGCGCCGTCTGTACTCTATATACAAGGCTGGCAGGGTAGTGACCCACCCTCAGGACAAGAACTAAGGTTCTCGCCTGAGATCCAGCCAACTGTAGTTTGTGCGCTTTAGCTCAGGACAAGAACTAAGGTTCTCGACTGAGAGTAAGTCGCCGGGCATGTTACGTAGACTTAGGCACCTATTAGGACGATGAGCAGTAGCGGTCGATGCTCCCCCCTGCAATGCTGAACAGGTGTTTATTCTTCTGCAGTCCCCTGGGCTCGGCTGCCGACTATGGGCTGGGCTAAGTAGGATCAAATCCTGGGTTCGGGATGAGGTTGATCCATACCGGCATGGTGAATCTGGGGCATAGTTCGAAGGCTGTTTCTTCAGCATAAGGCCCCCGCCACGTTCCGCTTGCCTGGCATTAGTGTGAAGCTTGCCAACAAGGTACAATCAAAGAAGGCCTTACTGGCAATGTATCGAAGTGTTGGCGGGACTGCAATCTCTCGAAGTACAGCGCAATCCATAAAGGCTTTCACATGGATGGTGTGAAGCGTCCTTGGAAGCCACATATGTTGCAGTCGTATGCAGTTAGAAAACGAAAACTCTCAGATTTCAGGAATAGAAGTACTAGAGAGATCAACAAATGCAAGGAGTTTGCAATTGTCACAGGCATGAGATCCTAGCCGGTGAAATTCTGATGATCCAAAGCATCCCCGTGGTATCTCTCGAAGTTGAGCAGGCGTTGATTGACCTGTCTCAATCACGGCTTGCATGAGCGTTACGTTAGCTAAATTGAGACATGCGTCAAAGAGGTATGGGGCCAGCTTGGTTGAGCCAACAAAGGTGTTGTCTCCTCCGCTTGCTCTTATATGCTGCAGTGAACAGCAATCAGCAAAGGCTCTATACCCGAAGTCGACACATCCTGGAGCATCTACACTATTAAGCAAGTGACATCCCCGGAAAGCGCTTTCCTCAATGCGCAATACAGTTGACGGCAGCTTAACGATTCAGTGTGTAGACCTTCTTCAACGAGGACACGTCGCAACCGAGGGACTGCACAGAAGGCACTATCTGGGATGATCCCGGAGTTGACTGGGACTTTGACTGCTTTTGGGTAATCCTGGTATTCGTGGTCTTCGAAGTCTGCTTTGGACTGGTAGACTAAGACCTCTAGCCATTCTCGAACGATCAGATTGAAGCTCGTGTTTACTTGCAGGGCATCCCATATTTGGCCTTCTGGGTATTCCTGCGTGTTTAGATGAACCAAATCCACTTCACTTCCGAAGACATCGAGTCTGGTGACCGTGGCGAGATAATCCACTATGTGGTCCTCAAGGTCAGCAGATCGATCGTACTGCGCAATGCTCAGTGGGACAGATGTCTCGTTCCCAGCCAAGGTGGTGAGTTGGCTGGCAAATCGGGCTTCTGCCAGCGCTTCTCAATGGGCTGTCTGTCCATGTATACGATCTCCTCACCCAGCCCCAGGACAATTTGTCAGGGAGGGGAGCCGACCTATGGGTGGTGCTGTTGGGGTGGTCTTCTAATGTGGCTTGTGGATGTTTCTGCAGTGTGCTATGCTTCCGGCCAGTCACAGTGACCCTTCTTTAGTGATGTCAAACCACACTGGGACCTCGGTGCGAAGGTTCATCTTGCCAGACGAAGGAAAGGACATAGCAGCGGGAGGGAAGCAATCAGCTTAATGGGTTGGATTGACAAAAGCTTCCACCACAAGCCACTAAGGAAGGATTGATGCGGTAGCCGCCGGTGCGCCGGGAGCATTCGAGCTGCTGAGAGCACAATTTGGGTGCGCCGATACAGGACAGCTGCATCCCCTAGTCCTAGTTGCTCCCAGCGTTCGCCAGGGTCCTGAGTATGCGCCAGGAGGGTGACTCCATGACCATTCTGGTTGCCCTCGCTTGTAAATCGCATCCAGTACCTCCTGCGCAATATCTTCCAGCGGCATAGCCTGCTTCGGGAGGCGATGGAACAAAGTGCGATTGGTGAGGAGGAAGCGCTCCTTTTCTTCTGGAAAGAAGCAGGTCAAGGCTTTCTCTAATTCCGTAAGGGGAAGATCATCGTTGTCGTGGTGAGTGATTGGTAAGCCAAGCCATCCTGCCACTTGTGCCCATGAAACGAACAGACAGGGTGGCGCTAGCTGTGGGCTAACCGTTACATCTACAGCCATAGGGGATGCAGTGCCAGAGTGTACTGGGGACTGGGGCGTATTGGACGCCATACTTGC